AGTAACTGGCATGTCATGACAAGCCGCCCATATTCAGAATACCAGAATGACAGGCACTCCAAACATGAAACTACTATTACAAATTACCATCTGCAGTGCAGTAGCTTAGTTCAAAGGTATCAGTTTATATAGTTAGTCAGAGTGAGAATCTTTCTAATTAATTGCTAGATTAAAAAATCTTCTGAATATTCTCAGGATCATTTCCTTGCTCATCTTTTATATATAACTGTACGGCTTGACATTGTCATGTTTCCTAGCTCTTCTCCTTTCCCTCTCTATACATCCTTCTAACCATGCAATTCATTTATAGTTTTTCATCAATCAGACATTTATCCATACATATTATTTCCTTTGTTTATTTCTATTCTGTTCATCTCAAAGCATCACCAGCTATATGTTAGTTCTCTCTCATTCCTGAAATAAAAGTCCTGACACCAAAAGTTAACACTCTTTAACACCTGAAGTTAGAGAAAAGTTTTGCATAGCTCACAGTTGGGAGAAGTTTCAGTTAACAATTCATTGATACCACAGCAGAGTGGACTGGAAGACAGACATTACTGAGGAGAAACAGTGCATTGTGGGAAGAAGTTAGCAAAATAAGCAAGAGACAAATTTATTTCTGTATCTTCTACTCTACCAAGGCTACAAAGATTATGGTGGAGCCAAAACAATCAGTCGTATGATGCTAAAATCTTTAATTCTAACATTCTATAGTGTATCAGCCATCTCTGAAAAAAATCCTACCTTTGACTGTATGAGACTTTGGAGAGACATCTCAACAAAAGCCATAACTCCAGGGAACATAATTCTGTGCCTTTTCTCCCAGTACTCCAAGAGCGAAGACACATCTGTCATTTACCTGCTAGTTGCCCTTGGTGTATTTGTATGTCCATTCAATTAGGTTGCATTAAAAAATATCCAGTCATCTCTCTGTGCTAAGTGTATTGAAGGGTGATGTCAGAGGAGAGGGGGCTACACAGCCTATTGTTCTAATCTGGGAATATCATTTTTCCTTTTAAATAATGAAACAGCAATTTATGAGTTGGCCAGACCTGTCTTCACAAAGAACTATGTAAGGAGAACAAAATCATTTAGTGAGTATGTTAATTGTAGTGGGAATGCAGAAAGGAAACTTACTCATATCAGCCAGCAGTGATGGATCTCAGGGAAGGTGACCCTTGCACATTGATGGAAGGACATGAGCATGTGTCATAACAGGGAAGCTTAGCAAGTCAGCCATACAGAGAACAGCATCCTGGGCCCATGGAAACTACTTCTTCGTAGGGACATTTTGGTTGTGATCTATGAATTACCTGAGCTTCTCAGTCCTCGGTCTGGATCTCAACCATGAAAGAAACTTCTGTATCCTCAGGGCAAGCTGCTAGTGCTGTGTTTTGTCATTGTATTCACAGACTGACCCTAATGTGGCCCTGCTTGGGTCTGGGTTCATCATACCAACCAGATTTAACCAAGATATCCAAGATATTAAGTCACTGCTCTTTTATAATCCTTGAGAAAAGGAAAATATTTCAGTCATTGTCCATGTGGCAAAAGAGGACTCAGATTATGCAAAAATAGTTAATGACTTAGGGGAGGCCTAGAGACCCTGTGATCCTAGAACATCTTTCTGAATTTTTGTGGAAGCACTCCCATGATTACCACTGCCTTCAGTACATACACACATGCACACACACACACACACACACACACACGCACACACACACACACACACGCACACCTGGCTTATCTAACACACTTGGCTAGGCTAAGTCTCATAATGGAGACATCTTTAGTTGTGGGTGTACACATAGGTCACCAACATATGTAGGTGAGACTCATTAGCTAATGTAGACAATTTCAGTCCCTCTGTAACCTTGCAATCCTGGTGAACACAGAATAAAGAAAAGCATGAGTTGAAATGAGTATTAGTGGTTTAGTGTTACTGTTTCCTAATGTAAAATGAAGTTAGCTTCTTTTGAAAAGAACTTGAAGAAAAAGGCTTTTGATGCAATAAAGTCTTCAGGCAACTGAAAATTTCAGAAACATGTGTGTTATTTCTATTTGGCTGGATCTAAGATATTGTTACAAATCTATCTGTGTTAATCACTCAGCTTTTACTTACCTTTGTTAGTTTGTCACTGGAGCACATATATTACCTGGTAAGGGGAAAAGAGCATCACTCTGGGCTTCCATCTGTTTAAAATCATCTCCCATGAGATCACAGTGTTAATTTTGGTATACAGTCAATTAGACTGACCCTAGCATATATCCATCCTTGAACTAATCTGGTAATTTGGCAACATAGAAACTCAAGGTCATATATGCATATTTAAAATCACAAAGTGGCAGCAGAAGAGGGAAACAGATGAATTATGGTGAGAATGCCCTCACTGGCCACTCCATACCATCCCTTCTCCCACCAGTCATTGAACTTACCACAGTCCTACCACTCTAGTCAATTTTCTTCCACTTTGTGCAAAAAGTAAATCAACATGGTGTTGCTAGGGTGAACATCTAGATGAAAGAATGTGCTGAGGCACCAACAGAGGATGTTGTCTCAAAGAGTTCCAGCTATCTTAATTCTGGGTTCCCTGGTGTAACACTCCCCTTGCTGGTGCCTGAGCCTACCTGTCCTACTTATTGCCCTGGGTTTATGCATGGTACAACTTATGTAGTGTCCTTTTTCTCTGGTCCAGAAAAAGATGAAGCAGATTAAAAATAGGATGACTCTGGGGCATAGATGCAAGATAAGCTTTATCATCAGGAGAATTTCTCATAGCATCTTTTTTCTTTATCTTCACAGAAATTTTCTACTGCGGATTATTTTGGAGACCCCCAAGAGGTAAGAACTTTTGTTTTCCTGATTATAAGTTTTGATACTTTATACTTTTAAGCTCCAATTCACAATGAAAAAAATCTGTTTTTTGGAATTAGAGTTTTGCCTTATGAAATTATTGCTGAGGCCCAGGGTGGAACATGAGTTTCTAGGGTTACTTAGAGAGTAAGATCTCAGACAGGACAAAGTGAGCTACCTTGAACCCAAGGCCTGTGCTCTTGATCTGCTAATTTGTGCACGTTGGCAATAACTGCATTTCCTTTCACGTTTCTCATTTCAAAAGCTTGTGTGAATGATACTTGACAAAAATATTCTGTTATCAGGAGGAGAGGAGGAGGAGGAGGAGGAGGAAGAAACTCCATAAGGGGCACATCATCCTTCACTGTGGCCAAACTTTTAGGAGGACATAAGGCTAATATTCATGCAAAGAAGGAGCCTGGGATTACAGCTCTCCTACCAGCACCAAGGAAACTCACTGATATCCTCCATTACCCTCTCTCTCAACTGCCTGTAACTGTGAAAGAGAAAGTGTGTAATAGGGTGTCAACTGAACAGTGTTATGAATGTAAATAGCAACATCAGGGATTGACAGAATGGGTGTATTCAGCAATGTTCTTGTCACTGGGACAAAATACCTGGCACCCACAGCTTAAAGGAGGAAGGGTTTATTTTGGCTTGGAGTTTCATTGGATTGAGTCTTTGAAAGTCTGGCTCTAAGACAGAAATGCCATGGTGGAAGGGCCTGGGGGGGAGGACATTTCTTCACTAACTACAGACAGGAAGTAGAATGAGAAGAGTAGTGCCTGTGTATTCACATACCCTTCTAAGTAACCAGTGAGAAGCCCTTACAACTCAACCAGATGCCCTGCCAAACAGGGGATATGGATACCAAGTTGGTAATGAGGGAGTCCAGCTGTGGAAGAAGAAAGCATCTAGCAATCAATAAGCCTGAAATAAGAGTGTTGGATGAAGAGCTAACAGAGGTTGAAATGCCTTGATGCAGAAAGCCTCTCTCTCTCTCTCTCTGTGTGTGTGTGTGTGTGTGTGTGTGTGTGTGTGTGTGTGTAGAGGAGGCAGTGAGGGAGGGGGAAGGCTGTAGGCTTAGGTCATGGGGTATGGGATGTGGAGGTCACTGAAAAGACTTGGTTTGTGAAGCAGCATGAGATTGGAGATTCTCAGAAAGCTCTGAGCTCCACACCCATGTATCTTATATTTTACAGCACATTTTGTGTCCAGCTTGCACGAAAGAGCAGGAGTCAGGTCAGGTGAAGGGGGAACAGGGCCTTTGGGTAGGGGCAGACCACTGCATCAGCCCAGTCACAGGATCCTGGCTGATGACATCAAGGCTGGTTCAGTGAGGAGCAGATGGTGGGTGGGGTGTGGATGTATTTGAATGGAGAATTGACAGGACCTGCTGATAAACAGGGTGTGGAGTGTGAGGAAAAGAAGAGTCCCCTGACTTGTCTGAGCTCAGCAAGTGTACAGATGACTTCACAGGCCACTGGGTAGACAGTAGCATTACTAATGTTTCCTGTTTGCTGGATGCAGTGATGTCCCATGGGTGCTTTTCCACTGAGACTTTCATTGTGTATCTTCAGAAATTTTACCATTCATTATTTCATCTTTTTCTCCACATTTCTATGGTGAATGTTGTCACAAGACTTGTCCTTGTAAACCTAAGGTAGAACATGTCATGCCCAACCTTCAATGCATGATCCCATTTCAAAGACAAACTAGAGTTACGTATGTAACTCAGCACTAGGGAACCTGAGACAGGAGAATCACTATGAGTCCTAGCTGTGTAGTGAGACCCTGTACCAAATAAATGAATAAATAAATAACCATTGAAGATTCATGTACTTAACTGAGCTTTGAATTATTGAGCCTTTCAGTTCGACTAAAACATAGCTGAAGGGCAAGGATGTGCCAGATTTTATGCAGAGAGCACTTTCTACCACCTGGCAACATCACAGTTCCCTGCCCTGAGGCATTCCTCCAAGCTCATTCCCTCTACCTTCCTGATTTAGCTCTTCACAATGACATCATTTTCCTGCTGCTCTAGCAATTTCTACTTTTGAGTAATTCTCGTCTTTCTTTTCACTTGGCCATATCCTCCTGTCATCCTGTGCATGGCAATCACCAGCTCACAGGACCCTGTCTTATTTCTTCTTTCAAGTGGGAACCAGCAAGTGGAACAGCTCTCTCTGAAATACACAGGCTTCCCCCCATGGGTAGTAGTTTTACATAGTGCCTGTTCAGTACTATTAGACTACTTCATTAGGATTTGGCCCTTGTTTTAATCATTTTTTGCTCTCAAATAGGGAACCTAGTCACATTTAGGCACATTTAATGTTACACTTAAAAGCTTCAGGTTTATCAATCAACAGAGATAACTGATCCTCAACAATCTGGGGTTCTACAATTTTGAATTCATTTACTTGATGAAATGTACTCATTACCCCAAACAAAAACTTGCAAGACTCATGTGATCATTTACAATGTATGTGTAAAATGTAAAGCAGATTGAGTAGCCTCAGTCCCATGTGTCCATGGAAAGTCAAAGGAGAAAATGTTATTGTTCCATCTGTCATATTGGGAAGTATCTTTTCTGTCATCTCTGAAATGGACCTCTTTTGGAAGTGTCTTTTCTGTCCTCTCCAAAGTGGAACTCTTTTGGTGATACTGTTTTTATTAATGATTTTTCAGATTAAGACAGCTCTCAAATATACTGCTTCAGTGCTGTCTTCTGTTCCTAAGCACAGGACACCGTTGATTTACAGAAGAACCCTAGAAGGGCTGAAGAGATAGGTTGGGGGTCAAAGTGCGTGGCTGGCAAGCACAAGGACCCAGGTTTGATCCCCAGTACCACATGCCATGCTGGCCCTGAAACCGTTTGTGGCAGTGCACACATGTAACTCCAGCACTGGGGAACCTGAGACAGGAGAATTACTATGAGTCCTAGCTGTTTATTGAGACCCTGTGCTAAATAAATAAATAAACACACAAACAAATAACTATAGAAGATTCATGTGCTTAGTTGAGCCTTGGTTTATGAGATTCTTCCTCCTGATATCAGTGTTAATGAGTCAATAATCCAAAATAAGAAATGACTTCCCTATTGCCATGTGAAACTCCTGGAAGTTGTAAGGAAATATTTTTAGTGTTTAATAAGGTGATAGTAAGATGTTAAAGCAGCTAAATTAGAGTGTTCATGAGATTGCAAATGTGTGAAATGCATAGTACATGTCATTTTCATGATCAGCAACCATATACTTTAAAATTGTTTTAGTCCAAGTCATAAAAATCTTTAGGCCTTCCCAGGTGGTGTAATATCACAAATAGGTTTGGCATTCAACTAAATCTCTGTACAAAGCTTTTGATATACAATGTCTTTAAATAAGTATATACCTATATAAAAAGATGCTAATGTGACAGAAGCCCCCAGGAACCTAACTCTGACATCTCCTTTGGAAAATTGTTCAGCATTTATTGTCATTTTACATGCATAATTATTATAAAGCACCAAAACTGAATTTATCTGTTTTGAAATAATAGATATTTCAATTTAGGTGATGACTTGTCTTCTCTTTCTGCACAAGCATCACCTCAGCATCCCAAAATTCACACATGCCTGCTCATGGTGTGTCACATACATAGCCCTGAGTTTCTCTGGGCACTAGACCCCTGCAGGGAAGACTGTGTTCATGGCCACACCCTCATCTGGGAAGAACAAGCCACAAGCCTGTTATCTGAGGCAGAATAACAATAAGCATTGTGTTGTCCTCCCCAGTACAGTCCATTTGTGCCCACTGTGATCGATGGAGTGCTGCTACCTAAGGCACCTGAAGAGATTTTGGCTGAAAAGAACTTCAATACTGTCCCCTACATCGTAGGGTTCAACAAGCAAGAATTTGGCTGGACCATACCACTGGTGAGTATGTGCAGGCCCTTTAGACAGAAGCATACCCTCCACACACTCAGCCCTTACCGGGGTGGTGCACCCCTAACAAACTCTTTCTAAAAGAAGTTTTGATTATCTTCCCATTAGATAATTTTGAAATGTCCTTGTTAGAGCATTCTGCAAAGGTAAGCACTGTGTAGTTAGACAAAATGGAGGAATCTCAGAAAAGTGAGGAATTTAGAGAGTCCAGGAGATTATATCTGGTCTGCAATGACTTCCATGTGGACCTATATTATTGTTTTCATAGTTCTCCACCTGAGGACTCAGGTATATAATACTATTTAAGATATGTTTATCTCCTTAAATGCAAGAATAAAGGTCATTTCTCTATCATCATAAACAAAACTATGTACAAGTTAAAATACTGGGACAGCTTTTATTCAGTAGTTTTATTGCAATAGAGAAAAGTCCAGACATATCCTGACCTCAACTCCCTAACATCAAAGCTTGGAGATGCTTAAGGCTGGATGAGCACAGGAAGGCATGTAGGTATGAGAGGGGCATCTGCGTGACCAAACCACTGGATTTATTTCCCCATGCTCATCTGTAAGATAAACAGAATTATCTTCATGCCAGGAAAAGAGATGTAAGTTAAAACAATGCCCCCAAAGAAGTTAGACCTTCATTTTCGCATTGGGACTGTCAGAGGGATCAAGAGTTATCTGCCAAGGTGTTTATATATTTGAAAGATATGTCAAAATATGTCCCGAACCAGTGGGTCAGTCAACCAAGTTCAACTGGGGGAGGAGCGGGGAATTGAAGAAGGGACAAAGGACAGGAGACGCGAGGAATGAAGGCAACACAAAGATTCTGATCAAGCCTCGTTTATTTAGGGGAGGTTCTGGGTATATATAGGGGGTGATGGAATGAGGAAGTCTCGGCTCTTGGGGTCTGCAGGTATCTAGGCAACGGGGAAGGTGCAACCCCTAGGGCATAGCACGTGATTCACAGGGAATGGGCAAGGTGAGAAGGGCCATAAACTTGACTCAGCAGGGGAATAGAATGGATACCGGTTAATGGCCTCCAACAAAAATATTTCCCCAAAATTAGCTGTCAGATATTTGAGGAAACTGTTTTGGGTCAAATTTATGTTTCAAAGGGAGGAAAAGAAAGGAGAATTGTAATCTTTCTAAAGTAACTGCTCTAAGGGAGCACTCATATTTTCTGCATATTATAGTACTGAGATTTCTCAAGCAGGCCAATTAAAAGACTTGGGGCCATATTAGGACAAGGTCTTAAGCTGGATGAAGCCAGGTAGGACATGGGTTGTATTTCTTAGTGCAGAGACTTGAATAGATGAGAGTTCTGCAATTTTCATTTCAGAAGAATCTCAGTCATTGCACCAAATTCATAATAGTGATTTTATTTTCTTCAGTCACTTGGGT